CGGGGCAGGAGTCACCTGGAGGCCCGGGACGCTTTCTCCGGTGGTCACGCGCACATCGGCCGCGCCGACGATCCCCTCGCGGTTACACTCACTCCCTGAGTTGGGATCATAGGCAGAAGTCATCCCGACAGCCACCCACACGACGACACAGTGACACTCAACAATCACTGGCGTCCCCTGTTCACGAGGTGACTCAGTGGCCCCCTGTCACACACACACACAGCCACGCACTACTCACACGGCTTTGCCGTCCCACGCAGGTCACCCTGACAGTCATTTATACACAACGACACGCAGTCACTCGCCTACGTACTCTGCCACACTGCCACATACGAGTCACCATCCACACCGTCACACACCGTTACGTGCCCCATCCGCTGTCACACCCAGTCACAACTGGAGACAGGCACACAAAGAATTCGCACCGACAGTCACACGCTCGCACTCACCATGACTCACCAGGCGCGTACTGTCACACGCAGCTGGCCCCTGGACGGGCAGCCTCAGACGCAAACCGTCCCGATGGCCTCACAGTCACACGCGGCCACACTCAGGGACAGCTACAGGTTCGCACCGTTCCTCTCCAGCCCCTCGGCCATCCACACTCGCGCGTCGGGGTTTTAACTTCTCTGCGCCACGGCGCACTAATTGGGCCGTTTACTAATTGGCCGTCACTGCCTGGCGGGGCCTCGGATTCCGAGTTGGCAAGGACCAATGGAGGCCTGTCCCCTCCCGGGAACGGTGAGCGGGCGTCCCTCCTGGGGCTGCTGTTAGGGTCACCCCCCTTCCCATTTTTCCAGGGTCGCCGCCCCCACGCCAGCCAGGTCCGGGTAGAGCAGCGCAGAGCGCGTCCGGCAACGCGGGAGGCTCGCGTGCTGGAGGAGGCGCGGAGGCCGGCTCCCCACGGCGGGCCAGCGGGCACGGTTAGGTGCAGCTGCGCGGTCCGCGTCCCTTTCTCGCCAGTGAGGGAACTTTCAAACTTAGTTAGGAAGCCAGGTCGTCTGGTCTGTGCGTCGGTCTGGGCAGGCTGGAGCCGAGCGTGGCTTTTCGTCACTCGAGCCCGGATTGAACAGCGCGCGCGGGTTTCCCTGTGTTCCTGGCGCAGATGTGCTGACCCGGTGGCGCTGGTGGTGAGTGCGCGTCCGGTGGCTGGATGGGCGGCCCCCCCCAGGTCCCTCCCTCATCACTCAGGCGTTTCATCCAGCCCTTGCGGTGGACATGCTTGGATCGCGGTGCCTCCCCGGCTGGGCATCGTGGGCTGGGCTTCGCTAAGTGCATTCTCGGGCCCTCAGGAGTCGCTTTGGCAAAGGCCTCCGCAGTTTGCCCTGGGTGGTCAGAGTCCGGGGCCACTAGCATCTGGGGTGGTGTGGGGCCAGGTGGGTGAATAGTGAGGTCTTGCTGAGGGTGGGGTGATTATCTTTTGTCAATTGACCCGTAAAGTTGGAAGCATGAGCGGGGAATGGTACCCTTGAGAGAGGGAGGCCGGTTTTCCAACCACTTGCAGTTTGATAGAAGGAGATGGATTAAAAGTAGCAAGTGGAGCTTTCCGGGAGGAGAAGGTTGGGCGTGGGGCAGCTGGTCTGTCTTCTGCCCTTGGCTTTGTAATTTTTTAAATTGTGAAATTGGCTACGCCATTTCCAGCCTCTGGTTTGGCGGCATGGGTGGGGATTAGGGATTTATGCCTCAAGGTCAGGGTGGGTCTTGGCCCAGCCCAGAGAACTCCTTTTGGGGCTGTGTTTCTGTCAACCCTGGGCAGAGTGGGGCCTTCCCAAATCCGGGCCTCTGGGAGGCAGGACCCAGCCGAAGCTTCTGTGTGTTCTGAGGCTCTATAAACCTCTGACTCAGCACAGAACCGTGTGAACCTGGCCGGCAGCGCCCAGGACAGGAGGGAATGTGAAGCTGGCGATTCTGCTTTCAGTCTAGGACCCCTGTCCATAGCAGGATGCATCCCCGGGATGTGTGGGTGGGGAGATGGGGGGCTTGCACAGTAGGACCACTTGGATAAAGGAAAGGAAGGTCTGACCTTGCACTTGGGTGTGAGACCCACTGCTCAGTCCTTTAGGCGCAGGCAGGGTGAGCAGGGGAGGTGACCTGGCTAAGCTAGGGCCTGGAGGATTGTTGGTGGCAGAGCCCAGGTGGGGCAGTGGCCATTCTTGGTGGTGGTGGTTGGGGGAAGGGCACTGTTGTGACTGGGAACTTCCCTTTTCTGGTCTTGGAAGCTGATGGTGAGGGGTTGGGAATGGAAATGCCCAATCCCTACTCTTACAGCTGGTCACTCTCTGAGCTGGAGGGGAAAGGAGTCCAAGGTGCTGTGGGGTCCACACTGGGCCTGGAGAATGGGCTGCAGAGCTGCCCCACGGCCCACACATGAAGGGCTCTGTCTCCAGAGAAGAAGCTTATCCCAGAGACCCAGGCCTTAGCAACACAAGGCAAGCATTTGCTCCAGCGATGCTGGACAACCATGGGGCAGTTGACCTGGAAGGGCCCTTGGTGACCGTCCCCTTGGTGACCATCCCCTTGACGACTGTCCCCTTAGCAATCCTCTACACAGAGGTTCCCAGCCTCTTTATACCAAAGTCATGAGCAGTGGCCGTTCGTCTGGTATCTTTTGTTTGAGAAAATGCAGAATGACGGAAAGCTGCTATGGTTTCATTTTTGCTTTAGGATAGATGTGTATTTTATCAATCACAATAATATCAGCGTGCATTAGGAAAAGAGCTCACCAGATATGAGTTGGCACATCATTTATTTAAAGGAGTAACCGAGCGTGGCGAGCACAGGGGCTGGAGGCTCTGTGACCCCAGGATCTGTGGCCCCATGCAGGCAGCCATGGCCCTCCGTTGCTCTGAGAGGGGGACTGCATCATGGAGCAGTGCACTCACAGGTACATGGCGAGGGGAGTGCTGAGGCCCGGGCCCAAGTCTTTTGACTGCCGACTTGATTTTCATCTGACTGCCCCCCAAGTCTGTGGTAGTTCAGAGGTGGGAGTCTGTGATGTCCTTCCTAGAGTAACTATGATTTCGCTTCATTCCATTTCATTCGACTTTTGGCAAGGCTGGGGCATTTCCAGGGGCTCGCTGCTTATCTAAGGCAGAGCAGCATAAACTGGTCATGGGGAATGGAAAAACCTGGGTTCACATCTCCGTCTGTGGCTTCATGACCTTGGGCAAATGATTCCGGGCTCATTTTTTACTGAGCTACCATTTACATACAATCAATTGACAATTTAAAGTGTATGGTTGCATACATTTTGGTAAGTATCCGTGTAACCACCAACCCAACCCGGAGGTAGAACAGTTCCATCACCCCAGAAAGTGCCCTCACGTCCCATTACTCATGCTCTCTGTCCCAGTCAGCCCACCCATCCCCTCTCCCAGAGGTAAGTACTAGAATTACCTGTTTTGTTTTTTTTTATTTCCAGTGTTTAAGTTCAATTTATGTAGATGAATTATTTTTATGTTCTAGAACTTCATCTGTGACATAAACATTTTCGTTTGCCTTCTTTTTGGTTAATGCAATGTCTTTAAGAATCATTCCTGTTTCCTTATCCAAAGTTTGCTCTATTTTATTGCTGGGAAATATTACATTGTATTAATATATAGCACAATTGGCTTATCCATTCATGTACTGACAGACATTGGGTTTGTTTCCAGGTAAATTAAGCTGCTATGAACATTTTATAAGAGCCTTTTTGTGGATGGGACAAATTATTTAATATCTCTGAGTCTTGGTGTCTTCTTGAGGACACTGTCGGCTACCTCTGAGATGAAGTGAGGGTTACATAAGATGCTGTAGGCTAGGGCACATACCAACTACTGTTGAGGTAAGAATGTATCGACCATCTGGGAGTATTCCAGTAAGAGGCCTACCATCTCTTTCCCAAGCATCCTTCATCCCTGGGCTAAACTTCCTTCAAGACCAACCTGGGTACCATCTTCCTCAACAGGGCTTCATGGCCAACAACTAACTTTCTTTCTTTAGACTCCCCCAAGAATTGCATGGGATGTGGCATGTTCTGTGATCCATTATTTAATCCGCAAGTACTTCTTGGTCATTTTTTTCTGCTAGACCACTAATGTGGATAGAAGTGAACACAAGGGACTCAAATCGCTGACCTCTGGAGCTTCCATGTCAGTGTGAAAAGTCAGACATGCGTGGGTGAAATATACGGTATTTTGATTACCATAATACAGCTAGGAGAAAACTGAAGCAGAATAGAGGGTTGGGGTAACAAGACCTGGGCTGGTTTGCAATTTTAAGTAGGGAGGAGGTTAGGGAAGGCCTCATGGTCTAGACCAGTGCTTTTCAAATTTATGTACACATTAAGAATCATCTGGCAGGATTCTGGAAAGAGATTCCTGGACTCCACACCTAGAGATTCTGATTCAGTTGGCCTGGGGTGGGGCCCTGGAAATTTGCATGTCTAATGCACCCCTAGGTGATGCCGCTGCTGGTCCAGGGACACCTATACAGCCACGGTTTGGTTGGCTGTGTACAGGTTTCTGTGGGCTCCTGGCAGGGCAGGGACCATGCTCAGCACCTGGCATGTTGCCTGGCCCACAGTCGGTCAGTTGGTATGAGCAGGTGGGTGAATGATTCAGGTCCCCAGCCACACAGCTCTGGTTATAGCATCCTGAAAGGATGGGGCTCTAGACAAGCTCGGTAGATGCATGCTTGGAGTCTCTTGGACAAAAATCTATAGAATGGGGGTTTCTGTTGTTGCCTCACCCCAGATTGAGATATTTGAGGTCTGCTTAGCATTGCTGGTGGGCAAGGTCTCCACAACTTTCTGCAGGAGTGCAGGTGGCTGCTGTGAGTCCCATGGAAAGAGCCCTGCACTGCGTGAGCTGTGAGCTGAGATGGCTGGTCCTAGGGAGTGCCAGGAAGATGCCTAACATCCAGACATGTTCCTGCCAGCCTCTCCTCCAGCCTGTCCTGGGGCTTCCTCCTGGGTCACACTGTTGCCTGTCAGGTACAGCAGCCCTAGACTACTGGGTGACCTTGAGCATGCCAGTGCCCTTGCCTGGGCCCCTGTTTCCCTCTGTGCAGAGGAACGGTGGATCAGTGAGCGTTAGCCTAGTGGGATGGTGTGGACATACACAGGGATAAACGCTGGAAGTGTCCTTTGTAATTGTAACGGGTACTTGGGCAGGGATGGGGTGATGCTTTTGGAAGGGAAGGGGCTGGGTGCTCAATAGATAACTGCTGGAAGAGGGGGTGCATGAAGGAGTCAGGGCTGGACATTGTGCCCTGTGGTTTGAGGCACTTAGCACCTGTTTGGTGCTTAGAAGACTGTGCCAAGCACTTCGAGCCAGGGCAGGGCGGGGGCCAAGAGTCTTTGGCTGGTCTGCCATTCCTAGAGAAGCTTCTTGAATGAGCCCAGAGAACAGAGCCCAGTGCATAGAGCAGCCAGCAGGT